TGTGCCTTTGCTCTTATAGGGCCTGTAGGGCCAAATCGTACTCCCTGGGACTCATTGGTTTTTGCCTTTCTGCTCCTTGAGAACATCTTCAGGCTCCTGTGTATACATTTTTTAAAAGCAATGTTATGGTTTGTGTCTGGATGTCCCCCCAAAGTCTCATGCAGTCATTGGGGAGGAAGCTTTTCAGAGGCAGTTGAATCTAGAGTTTATGATTGATTCTTTGTCTAGTACTGGCACTGGCAATGTGAGTGCTGCACACACCCTAGGGTGATAGCCTCCATACAATATGAAGGAGGAAAAGTGGCTTGCTTCTCACCCATTATCCCTTTTTTCCCTTTTTACTCTTGTTGCTTTTGCTGTCTGCTGCCACTATGAATGGTTTTCCCTCTGCCATGTGCCACTCAGCCGCCTTGGAGCCAACTGAGCATGGACTGAAACCTCCACAAACTGTGAGCTAAATAAGGCTTTCCTTCCTTAATTTGAGGGTCAGGTATTTTTCTCAGTGATGAGAGAAAAGTAATTAAGACAAGCAATAATCACCAATCTTAGATAAATTACTTGAAAATACTAGTTCCAAGATTATCTGTATTCTATGCAATTAAAACTAATTGGGTTCCCATAGCTTTTACTTCAGATATGGGGACTTTACCTGGTAAACCAGTGTAAATTTTAAAATGTAAAACACCATATTCAAGGACAAGAAAAGCACAGCATTACCAGGACAATGGAATGGTTCTTGTAGTTGTTCTTTGCATCAACTTTTCAGAAGGAAAAAAAAGTGGGCATTTTCCCATTCCCTTCAAATCCTTAACATTTGTGTCTTAATTTCATGGTGGTAAGACCCCATGGACTGTTCTCTACTTAGATTTAATTACGGACAAAGAAGTCCATGAGAATAGTTTACTGTCTCTGTAAAGCTAGGAATACCTGAAGTCCAAATACAAATTTTAAACAAGAAAATGATAGCACGTACTGCTTTTGTTTGGGTTCTCAGAGCCCTTAATCTTATTCCACCAAATCCCTTTTTCAGATGCAGTATTTCCAGCTTTACTATACATTCTGGCTTTTAACTCATAAATTTGATCCATATCCTTTAATCCATTAATTTAAACCCCTGCCTGAGTGAAGAGTTTGGTGAAAAGTTATGCAAATAGAAACATCTTGTTGGGGTCAAATTCTGAGTACCAGCTGGAAAGAGAAACATATTTACTAGCTATTATTTTCTTATTGCAGACAGAGGCAACTTCAGTTGTTCTGAGGAAGCCATTCCTCCTCATAGTACTGAGCAATTTATACCCTGACTTGAGCATCTGTCTCACATGGGTGTTAGGAGACTGGCCTCCTGCACCTCCCTCCATCTCAGATGAAGGAAAAACATGGCCTGTGGGTCATGGCCAGCTGTGAAAATCGCTCCAGTGTTTGTGTGGAAAATGGACTTTAACTATTGTTTACATTTCTTGGATATCTTCTTCCTTGCTTTCTGTTTTGTTTTGTTCTTTGAAATAATTTCTGGAATGCCATTTGAGAAAAACTGGTTTGTAAGCAGCTGAAGACCTTTTGAATAGGTGTTTAAGGGTGGCATTCCACTACTTATAAAATAGTGTTGCAAAAGGGAAGAAACATACTCCATCAACTTTTGCTTTTTGTTGGGCTTATTGTCTAGCCCAGAGTTAAATCTTGTGTTTTATTAAGAGACCATGTAAAAATATCAATGAATGATGATACACAATAAGATGCATCTTATAAAACCATACAGGAAGTCCTTGCCTTTGGGCTAAAATTCTACTAATACTAATACAGATATTACTAACAATTATGAACTAATATTTGAGAAAAAATAATGAGTCCCTACTTCTTTCCATTACTTTCTCCATGTAGTTTGGTTAGTTAGAGTTAACTTCGAAGGTCAGTTTTTCAGCAATCTATAAAGATAGCAAGTATGTGTGGTAAGTCTCAGAGCAAAAGCTATACATTGACAGAGAAACAGATGGGTGAAGTATATGATATAAAACATAAGAGACATTTCCACAATGCTCAATTTTTGGCTTAAAGTCAGCCTATCTTAGATTACAAAGACTTTTCCATCTCATCCTCCATTGCTGAGTATCTGTGAGGCATGCTCTGGCCTTTCCTCCTCCCTAGTTTGGGCCCTGCCATGGTCCTGGAATATCCTAGCATCCGTGGTATTGACCTTTCCCAGGTCACACCACACGCATCTCAGTGCTTTAGTCACTGCCCTTCAATAAGAGCTCTATGCACTCTGCTTCTGAGATATTCAACATTCTTTTCCTCAGTTCATAATCTTATTTATAATGTTCTCAATTTCTCTCTCCATTAGACCTTCTTTTCTTTTATGAATACTTTCTCTGAGTCAGTTAACCTACTCAACACTGCCTTTGGCCACCCTTTCTTCCCTTACTAAGACCAGAATCCAAGATGAGTTTCATCCCTTCTCACGACATCTTAACCCTCCTTCTCCAGTGTCTTCCAGGTTTCTGCCCTGAAATCTGAGCCACACACAGTTCCATAGTCTGGCTTTTCTATCCTTAGCTGGTGGCACCATTATGGCTTTATGGTGGGAAGTGACTGTGGACCAGCCAGTGTTGTGAGGATGTCAGCTCTTCTGAAGATCAGCCTTTCTCATTGTCCTCATGGGTTTCTCTTAACTTCATGAATTATCCTTGTACTTCCTTGTACTATCCTTTTCCTTGTATCCCCTTTCTTTCACATTACTATTAGATGACTGTGACACAAGATGGGCCATTTCTCCATCAAAACCGCTAAACTCTACCCTGCCCACCTCTAATCATCTCTCCCACATTCAATTCTTCTCCAACATTCTCAAAGGAAGGATAGTTCTTCCGAGTTTAATTTTGCAAAAAAAAGCTCCCCATTTCTTGCAACTTCAATAGTTTTTTCTCTACTAGTCCCTTCTTTAGATCCTATAAACTTGATTAAATTTTCTACATCTTCAAAACAAATGCTAAATCAAATCGCATGGCTCTATATCCTCTCCCATGAGTGAGCACTTTTCCCCTTCCATTTATAACCAGATTGAACCTTTTATTTCTACTTCCTCATTCCTCCTTTATTCATTTTTAGAAATTGTCATTAAAAATACTAAAAATCCAAAAAGTCCAACGTATGTGAAAACATAAAGAAAAAAATTCAACTTCCCACACATTTATTATGTTTTCTATTTTCTTCTCTAACTTTCTGATTTCAACCAGAAACATTGTGTGATACACTGCCAACAGACAAGAATATTCTAAAATTTCATTATCATTCCTAAAACAATATTAGCAAAACCTCCTCAATATCACAAATCTCCATGATTGGATTTTCAAAAGATTTTTTTCATTATATTGTGTAACTTGTCTTTCCCTTAAAAGTATCAAGAGTCTTTGTAAATTAAAATGTAGGTCTATATCACCACTTTAAAAAAACTATCAAGTCTTTTGGATATATGTATCATTTTTATTTAACCAGTAACCAATAGATGCTCATTAAGTTTTAGATTGCTAGTTTTTCCTGTTTTACATAGAGTATTTCTAGTTACACTAATGTTTTGCATTGGTGCACAAAATTCTGGGTGAGGTTCTAAATTCAGAGCAACTAAGAATGACTTTGATTTGAGGATGATTGATAGAAGAGCTTAATTTCAAACTTTTTCAAATAGCTATCCATTTGTCAAAACCCATTCAACTCTTTAGGGACTGCAATTTAATTTCCACCTGCACCATATCCTCTACTGAGAAAAGGGTATCTGTGATATTTATGTAGTGAGTGATTTCTATTCCTCACTCTTATTTACTGAGCTTTGGGACTTGTTTAGTGTGCTTTGTCATTCCTTCTTGTTTTGCAATTGTTTTTTTTTTTTTTTTTTTTTTTTCCCTCGGGCATCTGTAAGATACGTTCTTGGATATACTTTCATCTGATGATCTCAGCTGAGTTTCCTGTGTGACGTCCTCTTCCTTTGCCTTTCATTTCAATGCTTCTTGGAAGATTATGTGTGACTCTCTGCTTCTCAGTTTATATCTTTTCACAAGGCAACTCAAACCAGTCATCGCCAATGATGGCTTAGCCTTATGGGTAATGATGGGAGTCAGTGGGTTTGTCCAGTTCCTTATGATACCCTGAGTAGTATCCTTCCACCTTTTGTGGGGCATCTTACAATACAATGTAGGCGTTTCTTTTTCATTCCATAGAGATGGGCAGAGTATTGTTCCCCTGACTTAAACCAAAACCCATGTAAAAGAACACAAAATTCTGAGGTTGGGACTTGGGTGGAAGTCAGAAAATTGGGTTTCTGTATTTTACTTGGTCCAATAAAAAGAATGGAGTTATTATGTGTGACTTATTGGTACTTTCAAAATAGTTTTTAGCCATGATATATATACCCAGCATGAAGTCTGAGATAAAATCACCAGTTCTAGAACACTTGTGAAAGAAATGGGCTGAAATCAAGCTCTGTTACAGGATGAAGGGCAGGGCACGTTTTGCAAAGTACATTTGCATTAGAACCAGTTTCGCCCTGTGGTGCTCACAAGCACAGAGATGAGGGACACAACAGTGTGGACATCAGATCCTTGACCACCCTGGGTTACTTCTCAACTTTCCTTCCACCTTACTGTGCATCTCTCTGTTGCAGAATATCCTTCAGTTTAGCCAGCCCTAATATATAATGAAAGGGAAATAACAAGACAATAGTTCATGCCTGAAAAATCAGCCCTACATATTCTGCCCTTATGGGAAAATCACTTGTGCTTAAAATCTTATTTTTACAAAATAAACATCCAATGCTGGGTGAACTTCTGTAATCAGAGATGGAAAGGCTCTTTCTGGGTAAGTCACTTTGCTATAGAAGTTGCTGTGGATAAATATCATGTCTGAACTCTACTGTGAATTCAATTCGGTAAGGTGTGGAGGATTGTCTGGAGTTGAAATCTCATAAAAAGGTAGCAACTGTTAATGCAATTGATTCCTTCTGCTGTTTGCAGCCTGCTGCCTCCCCAGAGGATACCCCTGAGCTCAGCGCATTTTTGAGAAACTCTACCATCCCTCATCTTGTCAGGAAGCGAGATGTGCCTGTAGTCCAGCTCCATAGACAGAGTCCTGCAAAAATACTGGTGAGTTGCCTCTATGTACACAGAACTGAGGGGAAGGATTGGATTCAACAGAATTCCCTGCTATGTATGGTTTTCACTTCAAGTCTTATGTTCAGTCTCTTCTGATGTTCAAATATGCCTAACATTTCTTAGCAGTACAAATTGTGAAAAATTAAAGTGAGCTTTCTATGACACCAAAGAAGCATTTGTACATAAAATTTTTACTCTTCTAAAACTTGCTATGGTGATTGCTTTCAAGAAATATAAATAAAACACCCATTATAAGCTTTAATCTAATTCAGAAACCTAGATTCAGCTGTTGGTTCATTCATAGGGACTGAGCTTGTGAGAGTTTGTGGATTTGGTAGAGCACTGTTCAGCAAATAGGCTTTTGAAAAGTTGCCCCTGTCATTGAAACTCAGAGTCCTCTGCTTTTCCAGGAGAGTGTAATGTAGCCGGGTTTGAGAGTCTTAGCCTTGGGATCTATGTTAGGTCTGTCCTGAGCTTTGTTAGGACTTTCCAAAACTGTCAACAGCATTCATGAGTTATCACTTTTTGGTTCTCTAATGCACCTCTGCTAGATATAGAGCTTTATGAACTCATGTGAATATTTATCCTTTCTCCTAAACATTTGGCAGAGGTTAAAAGTAAATGGCAAGGATCATTTCCTCTATGGGCCGCAAATCAACTTCATAATAGAATACAAAGCTGCAAGCACATTCTTTAGCTATACAGAAGTGGAGAACACCTCAGAACCCAGCATCCTCTTGCAAATCAAGCAAACACACATGCAGGGTTCGAGGTGGGGACAGCCTGATGAGGTAGGGCTGAGTGGATGCTTCTTGCCCCACAACTGCACTGAAGAAGGCCAGGGTGAGAGGTGTCATCTTGGAGTGGTACTGCAGAAAAGGCCACACTCCCAAGCCAAGGGTTCTGTCTTGCTAGCCAAAGAGGCTAGCAGCAGGAATAGACCTTTGTCAGGAGGTCTCAGGACAAAGGGAGAGTAAGGAAAGAGAATGAAGCCAGAACTCAGAAACAACCCTGAGCCAGGGAAGGATCTGCAGCTGCTTCTACATGGGCCATGGCCATTGCCCTTGTCAGGTGGGGAACCATGCACCCCTTGTGCTGAGAACACTCTTCAGGCCATTTATGCCAGAAACATGCAATTGCCAGAGGCTCCATGAGGCACTGCACTCTAGCTGTTGGGCACTTTTCTGTCTCATCTTCCACCCTACTGGAAGTCTGTAAGAATCTGTACAGTTGCTCAATCCTGTTTCTCCAGGATTCAGCTCAGTGCCTGGCCATTCATTGAGTGAAGATGAGAACAAGATTGCAGATAAACTTGAACTTGAACCCATAGCCACTCCTAGAAACTTTTGGAGTCATCTTTAAAATGTCCTAGGTGTATCATTCTACCATCCTTACTCTTTCCTCATGGTCTTCAGGGCACGTTTAACTCAATTGTAAGCAAACATGCACAAGCAGTTTGAAAGTTAGTGTTGGTAACATATAAATTCACTAGCTCCTCCACCTACTCAATTCAACTGAAATAGTATGACAATGAATGAGTATATATTTTGGGGATTTAATTATTCCTTTCAGTTACAAAGTGAAATAATTTAAGGAAGCGAATCTATGCCTGAGGAATTGAACTCCTGATTTTAGCATTTGCATGATTGAAATGAATAACAATAAGCTTAATTTTTAAAAATTGAAAGATTGAGATTAGAAAGAATTTGCAGAAGATAAAATATAAAGTACAAGTGTGAGTGAAATTACCAATCATGTTTCCCCATAACAGAGAATACACTGGGTGTAAATGGTACTCTGCTTGTAGCCAAATTTGTGACTTGTGTATGAGTATGTGTGCATGTGCACGTGTGTGTGTGTGTGTGTGTGTGTGTGTGTGTGTGTGTGTGTGTGTACCCTGGGAAGAGCAGAGGTAAGAAGATTCCAATAGAGATACCAGACTTAGAATGAGGCTTGGGTCTGGTAAGCCATGGTAGCCGTGAGATCATTTGCTTCATGCCGAAGAAACCTTGTAATCTGTAGATTTGGTATTCAAGTTCCCAAACCCCATGTGAAAGCTCCTGCCTTTGGGGCTCTGTCTCCCCCTGAGTTCTGAGCCCAGGTAAATTCATCCAGAGGCCTCAGACTGAGTCATCAGAAGAGATAGAGAAGCATATGAAGTTTTTTTTCGAAGGCACCAAAATCTTTCATGTTTTCATTAGTACGTGTTTCCAATAAATACTCACTTTGTTCATCTTGGAGAAGTGGTGCATAGGCATATCACATCTTGATCATTTTGTTCCCCCTGCTAAGTTCCCCTGTTCCTCCTTCCCCAGAACCCCTTTCCCATCTCCACAGAGTTGGATAAATGGAACAATAAGCGGGGAACTAGGGAAGTCTTAAACTGATATCTTTTCTAATGGTGACATTAAATTAATTTCATTTTTAGAAGAAACAAATATAAAAAAGCGACAATCCTAATGATTTATTTCAGTCAGTAGGACATTGCCATATTGAATCAATCACAATCTTGAAAGTCCTGAACATGTGACCTACTACATGAGTAACCTTTAATAAATAGTAAAGAGTCTTCAAAATAGAGGATAGCAATTCCAGCTCTGAACCTCATTCATACACAGGTTTTTAGGAATCAGAGTTTTAGTCTGGGATGATAAAATAAAAGTTCTAGAAAAAGGTGGTGGTGATAGTTATATAACACTTTAAATGTGCTTAACACCACTGAACTGTACTCTCAAAATGCTTTAAATGATTTTTTCAAATTATGTTTTAAGTGTTCTCTGGCATCCATTTATTTTTTTCCTCTTGACAGTAAGAAATTAAATAATCAAATATGAAATGGACAGAAAAGTACAAGCAAGGGAAATTTCAAAAATCATTTAAGTCAAATGAGGAAAATGTAACAGAAATACCTAAAATTACATGGCAAAAAGCTCTAGGTGGCAGACTATGATTAAAATACCAGTGACTCTTTATGACAGGCATTTAGTGTTTTTTAGAAAGTGTTTTTCAGAATGATTTTTAGAAAGGTAAGTGTAGGGAGCACATACACGATCTCTTTTAAGGGAAATCAGTAAAACTCTGCATTCTGTCACTAAGGGACTTCCAGGGGATAATAGATTAGGCAATGATAATTTGTACCTATGGAATTCTAGTATGTACACATAGGAAAGGCACTCTGGAAAACCAATGTTCAATGAAAACTCACAAATATTAGATTTTGTTTGTTTTATGTTTTGTTTTTATTGTTATTGGAGATCAAACCCAGGACCTTGTGCACGGTAGGCAAATACCCAACCACTGAACCACACCTCAATCTTATGGGTATTTTATTTGTTTTTGCAAATTTCATCTTTTTTTAGTTTCCACTTAGTATTTCATGAATTTACTGAGGCCATGTATGTCAATAACTAAATTTATTTTGAAAAGTTTTGTACATTTGCTTTGTTGGGCAAATGTTTTTCATTGTTTTCATTAAATATCTTTGACATAGCCAATTTTTAGTTTCTGATTATCATCAAAGTATATTTACTCACAGGTGATTGGCATGGCAACATTTGTTTTCCATATTTGATTTCAATTCATGTTTTATTCTTATTTTCTCTTATTGGATCAAATCACACGACTTCATATATCATCAAGTCGAAACAACACTGGATAAAGAATGATTATGCAAAGTTTATTCTAAAATCAAAAGTGAAATAAGACCTCCTACTGCTTTTGTTTGGTTAAAAACAACTTGGTGAATCACATTTCTGATTAGGAATTTGAAAGTACAAAATATCAACATCCTGTGTTGGGATCATAATTTCAATTTGAATTTCAAAACGCATCTATGACACTGAAGTATCATTCTCTTCCATCTTAAGAATATCTTTCCCTGTCACATCTTTGTCCCTGCTGCTTTTGTCACTGTATCTGTATCTCTTCCAAACTTTTCTCTCTTCCCTTTCACTACTCAGACTAGCGCAACCTCATCTTTCTTAATTTCTTTTCAGTATTTGATACTCTTGGTCACTTCCTGAAACTACTGCATTCCTTAGCTTGCCCCTAGAACATTCTCTTCTGATTCTCTTCTTACCCTGTGGCTAGCTTTATCTTGAATTTTTCATGGGCATCTTGTCTTCCCATCCTTAAATGCCCTATGCGTCAGGACACTATCTTTAGCCCCCTCATCTCCCCTCCTGTCAATTTTTCTCTTTCCAGAAAATGTTTGCATGACCATATCCCCATCATTCCAGGTGCCTCCTCTTTCCTGAGTGTGCCTGATGTATGAGAGAGCAGAGTGTCAGTCATCCCATCCTGCTAGGTAACTTTCTCATTCTCAAAGTTCTTCCAAAAATCAGCTTCTGCAGAATCCTCCAACAGAGCTAATTAACTGGGGTCACCTTCTCAAAGGAATTTGTAACTGCTAGCCTGGCAGTTACACTCCATGAGTGGGATGGGTGGTACTCATGTCAATTAGGATAGATAGAAAACTAAGAGTCCTCACAGGTGCCAGGAAACACTGAGCTTTGCAACCTCCTTTTCCTGTTAAAGAAACCTCACTTATCAACTTTGCTAGTATAAGGACATTTCAGTCATCTGTACAGTGGACTCTTGACTCTCAAATTGAATCAGTTTGGGAGGCTGGTTGTGACTCAAGATGGTTATATGTCAAGACTATTTTTCCCGTAAGAAATGATGGAAATACTCATAGTGCATTTCAAACTCCCCAAAGCACCTCTTAACTAACATTTTTATACTAAAAAGTATAATTTTATACTAAAGAGTGTAAAAAGTATAAATTATATAATCTATGTAATTTACCAGAAACACCAGTAATTTTCCTAATATATTCACCAAAAAGTTATAAAATGTGCCTAGTTTACGAGAAATAATAGTTTTAGATTGTACTCACCATTCAAGCTGTTATATCTGGCTTGCAGGAAGGAAAGATGAAATGGAAAGTGGTTATTTTTAGGAAGGAGCGTCCCCTTCCATAAGAACATACGGAATCTGGGCTCAGGCTGATGCTTACATACACTCACATATGCTTTTCCAGCATCATGAGTCTGTTCACAATAGCACAAGGGCAGAATTTCTCTGATACACATTGCTAATTGTTTTGTTTTTAGAGAGTTCTTCAGTGCTCAAAAAGGTTTCTAATGGTTTATGTTCCTTGGATTGTTCTGTAGCTTATCAGTTTCATTAAAGTGAAATGTCTCAGTCAAGAATATCACATAATATCCAATCATTTTATTTTTATTGAGCACCAATAGTCCATTGGCAAGTGCTTGAGTCATGTAGCACTTTTAAATAAGAATAGGATACTTCTATCTGTATAAAGCACTTACATGCCTATAAAAAAGAATAGTGCACAAGATAAATTCACATCAATGAGAGTTACACACAGAAAAGTAGCATTTTCTACATGTCACACAGTAAATAGATTTTGGGGTACCCACTTATTTCCACACTGAGTTCCAATCAGAAAATATAATTTGATGGACAGAAGGTTGTCACAGCAAACACTTTCCAGTATTCATTTCATGTATTCAAAGTGATACGTGGTAAGCTGAGCCACTCTAAGAACTAGTTTACAAAAAGCTAATGAATGGAACTCACAACTGGGGCTGCTACCAACCAGGAAGTCATTTCAACAGGAGAAGAATGTGATGGAATAAATGGTCATCCAAGCCTCAGTGACTTTAAGTCTTTGAGGTAACATGAACTTCAGGGGCTTCTCTGCATCCCTTCCAGACTTAGCAATGTAGCATCAGATCTTATGGATATCTGTATGAAACATCTTCCTGAGTTCTGGGAAAATGAAACAGAGCTCTGCAAGCTGCAGGAAGATAGTTTAAAGCCTTACAAAGAAGTGTGAGTTTCACACTGTATTTGTGCTCCATTTTATCTGTTACCGCTCAAGTCTGCAAATCATTGTGACCACCACACTGTTCTCTTCCTTGGTTGTTCCAATGTATTTATTCTTTCTTTAAATCAAATGTTAAATTAAATTTTCGGGTAAGGCAATGATTTCTAAAGAAATAAAATATAAATAAATTGATCACAGTGTTGATTCTCGGCCACTGCTGAGAGAAACTGATGGCCTGCTGCTGCTGTTGTATTTTCCAGAACTGTACAAATATCGAGTGTTTACAGATTTCCTGCGCAGTGGGACGACTAGAAAGAGATGAAAGCGCTGTTCTGAAAGTCAGGTCACGACTATGGGCCCACACGTTCCTGCAGGTAATAAAAATCATTAGTCTCTGAGACTCAGCAAAAAGCCTTTTTTAAACAATTTAATTGTTTTAATGTTTAATTTTTATTTTGTCTAAAATACTGATTTTTAATTTCAATTTAAAAAGTTTTAATATAAATGTTTTATCTGTTTAATTCATAAATGTCTTAAAGGAAATTCCCGTACAGTTGAGCCAAGGTTCATTGGTCATTTGCCCAGCAGACGAAGGCAGTTCAGCCTCCTGAGGTGCCATGCCTTCTGGTCATACCTTAGAGTCATAAAAATGGACTTAGCTCCTCACTGTGTGCCCAATGCCAGGCACAGAGTAGGTCCTCAGTGACTACCAGCCCACAGGAGGTTAGTGAGTCTGGAAACACAATTCAAGTCATACGTTCTGAAAGCTTAAAGCAGAAAAGCTGAAAAGAAATTGTTCTAGAAAGTTCCTCTTATCAGGTAGGCCTAAAATCTAGGCTCCAGCCAGACCAGCTTTCCAGCAAAGTGGTTTTGGTGATTATACTTGGCTCAGTGCTTTTCCTCATCTCTGGGTGGCATCTAAAACTATCTTGGATAAGCCCACTGAGTGATGCAATTTTCTAAGTCTATTATCTCTTTTACACTAAGATCTTACAATTCAATTAACTGATACTGCTATGTTAGGACCTTGTTGTTTGGGCAAGATTTTTTTTTTAAACTAAATTACGCCCTTTACCAAGTGTATGTATTCTTGTTTGCATTTTAACTACATGAAAACTCCTCTGGTTAGTTTTGCCATGGACAATCAAATACTAAAATCCCTTTGAATTCACCTATAGAGTATTTTATTTCTCTAGATTTCCATTTCTATAATGTAAAATACTTCTATAGTCACATTTATCTTTTGATTTCATTTCTAAAATCAACGCAAGGTAAACTGAAGTTATTTTTTAGGTTGTTTTGAAGCCAGCCTAAGGCAGGGTTTCTCAGTACTATTAACATTCTGGGTTAGACAATTCTGTTTTGTTGGAGACTCCCCATTCATTTTAAAATGCTCACCAACATCACTCACTAGAAGCCAGGAACATCCCACATACATTGTGACAACCAAAATGTCACCAGATTTTCCCAGTATTTGCTGGGGAAAAAGTTTTCCTTCAGACTTCACCTCAAGAGAAGTACAGAGCCCAGTGTATTGGCTCTTTAATTTTTTTCTCCTGTGGGCAAACCATTATTCATTTATTCATTCAACAAATGGTTATGGAGCTCCTGCTATGTGCCAGTCACATCTTGTATGGGGAAATAGTAGTGGATCAAGCAGACAGGGGTTTTGCCATAGCTTAGTTGTATGATGCTGGCTCAGGGTTTTTGAACTGGGTGATACAGTGGACATGGCAATGGAGATTACAGCCAGCTGAAGGACTGACTGAACCTGAAGGATAGGACAGCCCATAAGCTGCTCAAAGACAAGCATAGAAGGTTAGTGTTTGCTGTGGCAAGGAGGCGAGATCCTATGTGAACCTCTTGAGCTACCTCAAAAGCTGGGCTACTATAGATGCCTTCCACTAATCTGGAGGCATAGCTCAGTGATAGAATGCTTGCTCAACATGTGGGAAGCCCTAGATTTGATCCACAGCACTGCAAAACTAAAATCAATTTCCTACTTTTGAATGGAATTTATCTTAAAGTTGGATGGAATTTATCTTAAGGTACAAACAATGCATCTTGTTTGTTTCTAGTTCAATGAAACTAGGAATAAGCCACATTATAATAACCAATATGCTAGATTCCGAAGGGTGGTGTAACAAACTATCACAAGCTGACTATCTTCAAGCAACAGAAATCTACCCTCTCACAGTTCAAAAGGACAGACGTGCAAAACTAAAGTGTCAGAGGAGCTGATTCCTTCCTGAGTCTCTCTCCCAGCTCAGTGGCTACCACATCCTTTTCACACTGGCTGTGAACACCATTCCAAGCCTGCCTTTGTGCGAAAGTCACCTGCATGTCCTTGTGTCTTCCTTCTGTCTCTTATAAAGATACTCTTGTTGGATTCAGAATCCATTTTAATCCATACAACGTCATATCAAACCCTACCTTAATCAAGTCTGCAAAGATACCCGTTCCAAATGAGCTCATACTATTTTTGTTTTTGTTTCACATTTCTTTTATTAATACATGCTGTGATGCATAAAATATGTTTATCCTATGAGATTGGAATGGCTATGACTTTGAATGGATTACCCCTAACCCCATTGTGAAGAGGGATTGTTTTGAGCTGCAAATAAAATATACAATATAGTTAATTATATAAAATTAATATGGAAACAGCCATTTTAAATAGTGATATATGTGATTAATATTATGAGCAGCAAAAGTTATTTGATGTATTTTTGTGTTTTTCGTTCTACACTTGCTAAAAGCTATTTTATTAAATCATTTTACAAAATAACATAACAGGCCCAAACTTAATAATTACATAAGAAAATTTACATCTGCTTAATAACAATAAGTCTCTGTCTTCACAGGCACATAGGCAAGGAGGGAGGTTGAAATCAATAATCACTGCGTTTTACTGGCCAAGTCACACAGAAACATGTAGCATGCGAGACACTTTGGTTTGGATTTGACTGACTGTAGGCGGAGGAAGTGGAGTTGGTATTGTAATCTCCCTTACAAGCGTTCCATTGTCACCTACACAGCTGATTCTTGTGCAATCAGCCATGAAAAATATCACTAAACATCACACAATGATGATAAAAGTTTATGACTCTGTGGGGTGTGCTCATTAGCTATCTAAGGCAACATGCAGCTCTCATACCACAGGTCGGATGTGTCTACATTACAACGAGCAATCTTATATCCTAAAGGGGAAAATATGTAAAAGATAGGCAATAAGGAACAGGGAGGTAGTTCTTTTGTAAAAGAGAAGTGGACCAAAAAATGGAAGGAAGGAGGAGGGAGAGAAAAGTAAAAGAATGAAAGAAAAAGAGTTGAGATGTGTTATGTGCTTGTACCAACTTCCCATGGAGAATGCATGTACTGCAAATACACATCAACAAAAAAATTGAACAAAAAACCTCACATATTAGGGGCTGGAGATTTAGCTCAGCGGTATAAGCACCTGCCTTGGAAGCAGGCAGTCGTGAGTTCGATCCCTGGTACCGATAAAAACGAAAAAGACAAAAAAAAAAAAAAAAAAAAAAAAAAAACCTCACATATGTACTAGCAAGCTTTGCTACTCCATTTTGGTGCAAGATTGTAAAACTTTCTTTATTAAATGTGCTTAAAATACTTCATCATAACAGAATGGGAGGAGGTCACTAGGCATTTTTGGTTATAAATGTGGTTTTTCCATTCACTATATACTTTTTCCATTTGCTGTAAGATGAATCATTTGTAATCTTGGGCAAATTTTTGAATCAGAGTTAATTTAGTGTAGATTATTTTGCTATTTGGTACATACTGATAAAAGTATGTATGAATGAATAGGTGAGCATGTTTTTGCACTGTATACACACATATTTGTGAACTCTGGAGGAAAGTGTGTGGAAAACAGCATAGATACACTAAAATCAAATTCTAGGAGTGAGGACCCTGACTGAAATTAAACAGAATTTTTTGTGTACTTTTAGTGGATTCCAGTCAGGAGCCCCGAGTTCACCTCTATTCTTGAACTGCTGTGTTCAAGACACTTAGCCTTTATGGGCCTTAGTTTCTTCATTTGTGAGATGAAGTGATAGATGGAAGACTCCTCCTGTTCTAAAAGATTTACCATCTGGAAACAGCTCATCTGGAATCTGTATTGATATGTTATTTAGCTATGTTATTTATAGTTTTTATTCTGCATAGCTTAAACCAGCAATAACTTCATATACTTTATTAATAGCCTGTTTTGTATTGTGTTGACACTTTGATTGACTGAAAACATACTACATTCAAATAGTTCTGTAAACTTAAGGAACAACCACCCTTCCCAAAGAGGTCTGTCTGGGAAGAGCCAGGTGTCTATTGAGTGATGGCCAGGTAGCTAAGCACCCAGATAAATCCTTGTATATGAATTACTCTTTTAAATCTTACAGAAGTACTGTGGGATACATACTTCTATAACCAACTGCACCCTACAAAGGAGCAAATGGAGGTTTAGTGACTTTTCCATGGTCACATAGCAATAAGAGGAGGAATATGTGACTTTTGTTCTGTATATAGTACCATGCTATACTGCTGAACTATAGATCACCATGTAATAATAGTCTATGATACATTTTAGACCACAAACACTAAGCTGTAGATTGCTAAACTATAATTCATAGATTACAATAACCAATGACAGAAGTTTTTGAATATCCTGTATTAAAGCTTTATAACTTTGAAAAGATCTATATATTTAACATGCTGTTTCAGAATTCAGTAATGAAAGTGTAAATCTCGAGTTGTACCACTCAGTGCAGTACAGTAGTAGCCACATGTGACTATCTAAATGAAAATATTTAAGTGAAATTAGTCACTCACTTCCGTGATTTCACTCTTCACATTTCAAGTGTTCGATAATCACAACCATGAGTTCTCTATAGGATGGTGGAAATAAAGTAGGTTTTCATCCCTAAAAAATTGGGCTGCAAGATTTTGAAACTTTAGCGAAGTATATTTCCCTTCAGACTTGCAGCATTCCATCAAGTTCCTTTTAGTATCCTTGAATGAAGAGCTGGGTTGGATTTAATATTGGCTTTCTGACTTTCACTATGTCCCCTCATCAAGTAAAAATGAGGCCCCTTTTGCCTTGTCACTGTATCATCTGCCACCTCTAAGGGAAGACCTTTCTCAAGTCTTGCACTAAGTGCAATGCTACAGGTTTGAATAAACATGACAGCTTCTCTCTCTCCCAGCCAGCCAGCAATGTCAGCAAAATGATGTAATGCTCAGACCTAGGAGTTAATGTATTGGCTTTAATTCAAAGCTTAGATATACACATGAACCATACAAGTAAACTTTTGGATTCTGAACTACTAAACAGATAAAACAGGAATTCTGCTATATG